AGTTGAGTGGATAAGCTGTTTCCCGCATGTTTTGCTGATTTCTAGCGGAATATGTTGGAAACAGCTTATGTGCGCGATTTCTATCCAGTGCGACAGCTGCCACGTTAAGTCCGTAGACCCGCCCAATCAGACGGCGAGATTGGGACCGTGTTATTGAATTTTGGTGAAAGTAATTAATTGTTTTACAGTACAAATGGTTTGAGTCAAGCAGTCAGTCCCCCAGTTGCCCGCTGTGCCGATCCAATTTTGGGTGAAGGATACCCACTCGTCAAGTTTGTTTAGGGTTGTTAATCTTCTTGTTGTTTGGTGACCATAATTGCCATTGATGAACGATGTTGTAAAACGGTTATTTGCAGTTCTTGTGATACCAAATTCTATTAATAATTGTATTAAAGTCTACTATTACTATTAAATAAATGGGCTAGTATTACTGATGAGTGGTCTGATTTCACTCGTTTCGTGTATTTTAGTGAAAATTTCGCCGAAAAAGAAAAAACCGCTAAAACGACTCCACAACCACGACCTCTCCAACTTCTAAAATACGACCCTCGTCCGAACTTTTCAAGGATATAGTTAAGTTTGCTCTGTCCAAAATATGACCCTCATTTGAACTGTCAGAACGGACGATTGTTCCTGCCAGAGACCGTACTGGAGTTGATCAGGTAAAGTGAGCGCAGCGTAGTAAGCTACAAGCACTTACATGGTCAGAAACTACCGACGGAGTCAGGATCAAGCAGGGCGAGCAGCAAATTTTCCGTAAATTTAGCAACAGAAGCACTAAAAACACAAAAATCCCAAGAATTTTATATACTCAATACATCGCTATTTAAACTACGTTCCGCTCCTAAAACTGACACTGATCCCACGCTACTCTCCTTCCCCTCCATTCCGAGCAGATCGGATCGACTTCCCGTTGAGCTTTGCTTTAAAGAAAGAAATCACGATGGAAAATCAACCACTTTCAAACTAAGTGAGGAAGTGTGAGTGGTGCAAGAAAGAAGGAAAAACCATGAGAACCGGCCC